CTCTCCATCCCGCCCTATCCTCCTTCGCAAGCCAGGCATCGACAAAGTGCCCCCCATCTTATCATACATCTTCTCTTGCACCCATGCTGCTTATCCACTTCATATTTAGCATCCACGTCGCGTCTTCTTCCAACCTCGTGGATCCGGTGATGCCCACGCGACCTTTGTGCCCTACATGTGGCCGCTGTCCACCGCTGACCACGGCCATCAATCTAAGCCTGCTGAAACCACTCTCCTCCTTTACCAACACCCCATTCATCCTAACCCCAACTCTAAACCCTTATTCATATGTTCTCCAATAGAGTTGGCGTGTCATCAGCGCGCTAGAAAAGAGAAGGAGCTCACTGTTGCTAGGGAAAAAAAAGAGATTCGAGGGGAGAGACATCCCCCGAATATATTTTTAGAAGGGAGGAATCGAATTTAGGGTAGTTGGTTACCGACAATGCTGCTAGCCACTAGGTCTCACTAGTTTCCCTCTCGTCGCCATAGAAGAAGACTGTTGTCACCACCGCTGGTAAGTCCCAGCCTCCCCTTGTCCCTCTCCCTCCAGTCCGCTCCCAAAGAGAATTAGTAGGCTAAAGATGACTAAAATTTGAGGGTTCGAGAGAGCTCTCGCGAAACCAGGCAACTGCAGATAAACAAAATCCTCTCCTCTCCCTCTTCCACCTCCAATTTGGTGGTTCGCTGCCAATGAAGAGAGGGGGAGGGATCAACATTTCTTCTCTACTAGGTAGTCCTAGGTTTAGTCAGGCTTTTCCCTTTTTCGAGTACATCATGTTTCTACTCTTGTGCAATGCAAGGAGGTCATCGGCATCCGATCTCCCTTGTCTCAACAACTCTGGCCATGGAGGTACTTGCTAGGCTTCTTTCCAGTGAGGTCGTCTTGTCTGTGATTTGTTGGGTCCCTCCAAGATGTCAGCAACTAAATGAGCAGTTGATTTGTTTGGGTGGGTGGCTTCATCCTCAATCCCAACATCTAACAGGTAGCGCCGAACGTCCTCTCTTTCTTCGGCGATCTTCCTGTTGTCTTCGGTCCTCTTCTTTGTCTCCCGCGACAGGTCTTGAAGCAGCAACTGAAGCGCTCTTATATGGTGCTAAGGCAACTGTAATCTCCATCTCCAAGATGCCCCACCTGGGTTTTCTATTTGGCAATACATTCTGCAGTTTGCCATGGTTCTTGCAAACTTGTTGTCGTTGTTGTCATCGATCGAGGAACCGATGCAGAGGAAGAAGCAAGACTAAGACCCTGATTGCTTTTTTCTTATCTTTTGTAGTCCTTATCTGCTTATTTTGTTCTCAAGTTATAACGTACCCATTTTTTAGGGGCTTATGTGCAAATCTAGCTATCCTTTCAGCTAGCTTTATGTTAAATAAGATAAATAAATAAAATAAATATGACTAGAATTTCTAGCAATTTTAATCATTCGAAATTTAGCAATCTTCTTAAAAGCGTTCAGCGTGTCCTTCGCCCATGGCCCCCAATGATTAAAGAAAACCAAGACAAAAAATAAGAAAACCCGGAAATAACTGAGGTGAATGTAGTCGGCAAATACTCCTAGCTAACTCTGATGTACGTATATGTAGTTTGAAAAATGCGGACGAACGGTGCCTTTTCCGCGGTGACGCAATGTACGCATGTGACCGTCTGCTAGTGGCCTGCCCACTACGTACGTCTACACGCACCATTCAAATATTCAATTCAATAACCAACAACACGCAAAAAAAAAAAAAAATTTGGAGCAATTGAGCAAATGGCCAAAACAACTTGTCGTCCTCTTCCATCTCTTTCTCTCTCTATCCCATAATGCCTCACGTATGCCATTCTCTCTTTTTTTTCCCAATGTTTTTCATGCCATTTCCAGCTGTGCTTTCTGTACCGTACGTCATGGCCCTCCTATCCTGAGGAATGAGGATCCCCTAACTTTGTGCAGTTTGCAGTTATGCCCTCACATGTCAGTGGCACAACTGCAAACTGCACAAAGTCAGGGGATCTGTTTCCTATCCTGAGATATCTGGTTGCTATTCATTTCTTCAAAAGAGCTGTTTACCTAAATGATACAGTACATAGAAAGTTGATATTTATTCAACCAAAAATAAACTGAATTGTTTCGAGTGAATTTTTTTAGCTTAGGGGATGTTTAGATCCAGTGGTGTAAAGTTTTGGCGTGTCACATCGGATATTATATAGGGTGTCGTATGGGATGTTCGGGCACTAATAAAAAAACTAATTACAGAATCCGTCAGTAAACCGCGAGACGAATTTATTAAGCTTAATTAATCTATCATTAGCAAATGTTTACTGTAGCATCACATTATCAAATCATGGAGCAATTAGGCTTAAAATATTCGTCTCACAAATTAGTCACAATCTATGCAATTAGTTATTTTTTAAGCCTATATTTAATACTTAATGCAGGTGTTTGAACGTTCGATGTGACAGGGTGAAAAATTTTAGGGTGGGATCTAAACATGGCCTTAAAATATAGCCTATAATATGTTTGAGCATAATTTCGCTCCGATCAACTTGATAAGGGCAAAGCAAAGAGAAAATTGGACTGGTACAACCATTCCGAAAGATACCACTGAAACATCTCTTTGCTCATACACCACTGATAAAGTTTCAACTTTTACAACTTCCATCCAAAAAAAATTTCAGTGGCATCATGATTCCATAAGTTTGAACCATGCCGACCTAGTATTATCTACAGATTTAAATCAAAAGGAGTAGCACTATATTTGAGGATGTTTAGTGCCTGTGCCACAACCCATAATCAAACAAAAGCTTTTTTGCAAATTGCAGGCAAAGCAACAGTGCAAAAGTCCAAATACTTGAAAAGGCAAGTGTACTCCTCTTCCATAAATGGAGGTATTGGGTTTTTTGCTGGTAGGTTTGCTACAGTAGCATCCAAAAAGGAGCAGGCAATAATCAATCTGATCTGATCTGATCTGATTTGCAAGTGTATGCATATCCCTGCCTTTACACATTGACTCCTCCCCCATTGGTTCGTCGGTTGGCTGGTTGCTCCCTACTTTTTCGCACATACATCATCCATCAATTCTCATCGTCCCTCCGTCGGCCGGCGGAAAAGTCTATGTGTGATTAACTAAAAAGTCTATGTGTAATCGCTAAACACACCCGACCATTTCACATACCTGAGCTTGATTCGTTGTATTAAACTGAGGGAGGAGTAGATAGTATACTCTCCCAGTCTAAAAGGTTACCGTTTTAAATTGGTTATCATAGATTAAAGTTTCATGAGAAATAATATAAAACATTTTATTAAATGACATGTGGTAAGGATGGGGTTAGGAGAAATATGAATGAGAGATAATTGATGAGACAAGTACTTTAGAGTGCCAATTTTTGTAGCACAAATTTTATTTTATTTTTTAAAAAATAAAGGGATGGAGGGAGCCGTATATATCAAACGAGAAGGGAAAAACAAAAGGAGGAAAGAATGTGAATGTCCAAATTCAGAGAGCAGAAAGTTGCTTTGAATGGGATCTGCTCCACCATCGAATATCCCAACTCAGATATGTCGAATCAGATTGTGTTCCTATGCTTTACCGTGAATTCTTTTCCAAATTCCAAAGGGTGGCCTGCCAATTATTTTTGGCCTAAAATGATCCCAAGATTGTTATGATTATATGCCAGTCAGCGGCCTGTTCTACTATAATTCATTCATTCCTTTTAGATTATAAGATTATTATAGCTGATAGATTATATGCAAATTATTCATGCCCGTTTTCTCAAGGTATGATTTCTCCAAAAATCTTTCTGCACCTGCATTGCAATCTCGAGTCGTAGGTAAGTGTGTAATTTGTCAAAGAAATCAGACTCATAGAATTCTAATAGTACTTTCCCAGCGTTGAAAATTTGCTGTATGATGATAGCACAACGAGAGGTCCAAAGTGCAAGAGCAGAAGAGAAGATACAGGGGAGATCCCGATCGTGCAGCTTTTGAGTCACAGAATGAAAAAGCATCAGCAGCAGCCAAATGAGATTGTATATGTGTACCAGCTGCTAGCTAGAGTTCGTCAACTCGATCGTTTTACAGCATTTTTTTTCTTCCTTTCTGGTGGATGGTGACCACGCAAGTTAACTGACGTGTAGTTCGTTTTATGTTGTCATAAAGTGGATCCATCATTGCACAGTTGTGCACTAGCTTTGTTATCCTTAATTTGTTAATCACAGCTGACGTACGGGTTAATTTTGTTGCAGTCTGCACTAATGACGCACTTCCTCTATCCATCAATCAATATAAGGTTCCTCTGCACTAAGGTTAAAAGTGAAATCACTTTGATGCTCATAGAAGTTTGCCTGCCTAGAAGTGATCATGCTCAGGGACACATCAATAAATACATGGAATTATTGGGAGATGTTGGACTGGGAAAATAGTAATAGAGAAATATTTGAATTTATAAATAAATTTTGGATGCTAGAAAATACTTATATTTATAGATATAGATGACTTAATCACAGCTGAATGTCTCGATCTCGCATTGTAGACGTAAATAGTGAAAACTAAAACTAACAAGTACTACCCCCTCCATCCCAGAATATAATTATATCTAACTATAAATCTAAACAACTATATGTATCTTAGATTTATAATATAAAAAAATATATTTTGGAAGAAAGGTAATACTAAATGTTCTTCCTCTAGGCTCTTCGACTCTGCGCTCTCTTCGGTCTCAGTGGTTGTAGAGTCCATTCTCTCGAAGGGTCATCTGTGGTCGTTAGTTGGCGTTGCTTCTTTTAGAAATTTCTTGGGAGTATAGTGTGACTCTGTCTCTCTCCCAACTGATTAGAGTTGCGTTTAGCTGTCATAGTATTCTCTTCCCTTTTTCTTGGTTGTGTTTTTTTCTCTTCCCTTGGCAAAAGCCAATCTGGCTGATTGCGTCGTGCAACAGATTTTTTTTATAATATATTAACATGTAATTCTTTTAAGCGTTCACGGAAAAAAAATCCTCGTTTTCTTTTGCTTTTTGCAACGACGACCAACGCTATAATAATTTCCAGCTAGTTCGATGAGTGATCCTGAGTCCCCTGATGCATGTGTACACGTACGTGCCTAAAAGCTAGCCGCATGGGCCTGTGCAGCTGTGCTCTGTACATTGTGTGGAGGCAACGGCGACCCAACGTCGCGGCTACCCGCGTTGCAGCCTGGCTGTACATACATGTTGCTGCTGTGTTAGCTTCGCTTAGCACCACACAAACACAAGCTGACCAGTGACCTCTCCTCTCATGTTCCCATATCTATGGCCGTATGGGGGAGGTGGTCAAGCCTTCCCCCTCCCCTGCACTGCACCCCCCAACCTTTCCGGATTAATTGTACCACCTCGCCTACGCACATGCGTCCGCCCCCAATATAATACTGCTCCTGCTACCGCCGTGCTCGCTGAAGCAACTCGGGTTCCTCCTCTGATATAGTAGTATTGCGACCATGATGGCCGCGGCTAAGCGCCCCTACTGCAAGCCGCCGCCGCCGACGACGACCACGACGGCGATCACTTCCTCCTCCGGCCAGAATCACAAGCGGCTCCGCCCTTCGCTACCAGCTGCTGCTGCCATGGACGGCGGCATGGAAGAGGAGGCGGTGGCGCCGCCGCCGCCGACGACGATGACGACCACCACGCCGCCGCAGCCGCTGCTCCCCGGGTTGCCGGACCACCTGGCGCAGCTCTGCCTCTCGCCGCTCCCGCCGCGACTCCTGCACGCCGTTTGCCGGCCGTGGAGACGGCTCATGTACGCGCCGTCGTTCCCGCCGTTTTTGTCTCTGTACGCGCTCCTCGACGACGCGGATGCCGACGCCGGCGTCTCGTTTGCCGCCTACGACCCCTTGGCTGGACGCTGGGACGCGCTTCCCTCGCCGCCAATGCCGTCGCCGCCGCCCATGCTCTGGCACCCCTCCTTCCTCGCTCGCCGCCTCCCGCTGCAGTCCGTCGCCGCCGCCGGCCGCCTCGTCCTCGTCTCGGGCTCCACGCAGTCCCTGCACCCTGCGCTCTCCCGCCCGCTCGTGTTCGACCCGGCCGCGCCCACGCCGCGGTGGCAGCTCGGCCCGCGGATCCCGCTATCCCCGCGCCGCTGGTGCGCGGCCGGCGCGGCGCGCGGCCGCGTGTTCGTCGCCGGGGGCGTCGGCGCCGGCTACGACCCGGCCGTCGCCCGCTCCGGCGCGACGTGGGACCCCGCGGCCTCGCCGCCCCCCGCCGCCGCGTGGGAGCCGATCCCGCCGCTGCGCGACGGGCGGTTCAGCCGCGACGCCGCGGAGGCCGTCTGCTCCGGCGGGAAGGTCTGCATGGTCAACCTCCGCACCCCCGGCGCCAAGGAGGGCGCCGTGTTCGACCTCCGCGCCGGCCGCTGGGAGGACATGCCGCCCGGCATGCTCGCCGGCTGGAAGGGCCCCGCGGCGGCGTCGCCCCCGGACGACGGCGAGACCATCTACGTCGTTGACGAGGAGCGCGGCGCGCTCACCGCCTACGACTGGGGCGCCGACCGCTGGAGGACGGTAGCCGAGTCCGACCGCCTCAAGGGGGCGGCGGAGATGACCGTCGCCGGCGGGAAGGCCTGCGTGGTGGCCCCCGGCGGTGGGAAGGTGTTGATCGTGGACGTCACGCCACCGCCGCCGCCGCCACCAGCAGCGAGGAGGGAATCGTGGGCGGCGCCGCCGCCGCCGCCGCGCATGTGGGAGGTGGCGGCGCCGGGCGGGAAGCGGGTGGTGTCGCTGCACGTGCTGCCCAGGATGACACGCCCCGAGTAGGCGAAGCTCGTCTCCGCATGGATATGCGATTCGGTACACGTAACACAGCACAGCACTGTACAAAAACGAGAGCTCTTTTGATTTTGCCGCAGATTGAAGCTCGATTATTTTTTTATATTGATTTTTGGAGTAAATTCCCCCCAAAAGCTTTGAATCATGCATGCTTCTGTTCATTTCAATCAACAAAAGAAGAAGAAGAGATGGATCGATGGAGCGAAGAATTTGTTTTTGTCGATCCACACACACACACACACAAAAAATCTGAATGTGAATGTTCGTAGCGTTTTTGGATACCGTGGTCCATTTTATGTTGTTACTGCTTTAGCTCCAAAATTAGGTTCTATTCTATTCGTCCCAAAAGCCATGACCAAAGTGGTAGGGATCCCCGTGGGCGATGGCAACGGCGGCGGCGAATGACCGATTTGCTGCTTTCGCCGTCGATCTCCGGCCATGCGCGCGCGCGCGCGAAGGAACCTCGCATCTTTTCATCTCCCTTTTTGTGTGGATGCTGTCTGTGATCATCATATCGATCCGCTCGTGGGCCATGCGTCGATCGATCGATCGATCCGGCGAACTTTTTTTGGTTGGTCGCCACCGGCGGTGGCAGGTATGGGCGAATCTACAGTATTAACATCGGTGTCAAACGATACCGACGACTTTCGATAAAAGTTATGGTTAAACTGCTTGTTCATATATTACAATACTATAATTATAATATCGATAGACACGTTATGATACCAATGAATTATTTTTCTAGATCGGCCACTGCAGATAGGGTGTGGTTGCCGTGGTTCCAACGGAGGAGGACCCGGCTGTCCACACGGACCGAGTCCTATTCGCCGTCATGGTGACGGCGACATTGGCTGGCTCTGGTGTCCTCTTTGTCTTGTTGTCGGTTATAAATAACGCCGCAACGATAGCTCGAAAAGTAGGCACCTGTCGTCCATGCCAACTTGCTCTCGCTTGCATGGTCACACACAACACAAGAGAGAGAAAGAAGAGGAGGGGGCAAAAAAAATAAAAATCTGGGTGTGAGAAAGTTTATAGCTCATTCATTGACGAAAGGCGGGAGAGCGACGCGCGCGCGGTGGCCAACGAGCTATTTGCGTGTTTATAGCTCTTCCCCGCCGTCGGTCAGGATGGAACAAAGCTAGCGGACGGTGGAAACGAGCCAAAAACGGGCGACCCTTAATTGCGGCGAGATGCGATGATTCCTTGTGTGTTACTGGTAACTAATTGCGATGGCCACTCGTCCGGCAAGTTTCGCTCACGCCTGATGTCATTTCTTCTTTCTGGTTATCTTTACATCGGGAAAGTGATTTTATCCCTCCATGGGATATCTGCTCGTTTCGTGCATGCCACCTAAATAGTCAATAAAAAATATGAAAAAATTGGCAACATAGATTAATATGAAATATATAACTTCTATAAGTTGTAACAAAAATAACAATATAATTGCGAATGTGCGATAACTATTTTCAGTTAATTTGTTATTTTTGTTACAACTTGTATAAGTTGAATTTGGTCTTGCATGTTTGTGGAGTGATATATTTCGTATTAATCTATGTTGTTAATTGTTTTTAAAATTTTTTGATAACTATTTAAATTTAAATGACATGTAAATAATGAGGGGATATCCCCTCGAGGGATGAAAATCCACATCCCTCTACATCCTTCTTCACTTGCCAAATTCTTCAAGTCCCAGATGCTCTGAAAGTGATGGCTTCAGGACGGCCTGATTCTCACACACTTTCAGACAAGACTTCTTTTTTTTTTCCCTTTCATTTCCTTCCAAAAAGGAGAAAGCTTTTCAGACAATTGTGTGACAGAAACTAAGCAATGGTACTACTCCAACTATCATGACCGGTTTCTTGGCCAGTTAAGTGCCAACTTGATTTCAATCAGATTTCAGGCGTTTCTCAGAGAACAACTTGAGCTGCTTGCTGTGTAGGAGTATGTTGGTAGCTTGCAGAGAGTACAGTGCTTGCTTAGACCATGTGCCATCAAGTAAAATAAACCTAGAAAGTGAAATCTTCATTTTGTTAGCTATCACCTAGAAAAAGGTGAACGCAAGAACTGTAACAAGAGAGTGATATTTCTAACAGGACACTCAAAAAAAGACTAAACTGTTATAGTAGTGAAGAGTAAGCAAGACACTAAAGCCTGAAAATGAAATCCTCACCTGGCTCAAGTCTCAACTGTGACTGAACAGCCAACCAATATATGCTAAGGCAAATCATTTCCCAACACTGCCGCACGATGCTGCTACCTCAACCGGCCTAATTAGCGTTCCTGAATTACCATCATCCAAATCAAAATTAAGGTTAGGAACAGTCACTTTCTTACACGGTTACACCCACTGGCTTGCTTGACCGATAGCAGTATACTACCAACATATACTCCATATAGCAATGGCAACAGACAAACCGATAATTTCTCTTGCTCAGCAACTTGTTCGTGACCTTGTCTAGATCAACCTTAATTGTAGCAATTAGCTACAATTAAGGCATCTTCTAGACTGTCTGGACAAGTTTGTAGTCTCGTCCATCCCTAGACAGACCGGCGTTATAATTGGGATTCGGACGTGCGGCTTATTGCAAGACATTTGGGGCACCAGCACACCACTACAGTTAATGATTATGCTCATTTGGATACATTGCAAAATCACTATAGTTAATGATTCCGCTCATTTTGGATACACAACTTCTCGAATATGCTATATTCTCACGACATTACATCCGAGTTGGCTTTCTTACAGTTACAGTTTCCAAGCAAATTGTTGATAGGTTACAACTTACAAGCAAAAGACAGCTGGGGAAACAGACAACATGTCCACTCTCTACCAGCAGAGTGTGCAGAGTTTCTAATCTGGCAAGGCAGTCCCCCTTTCAAGATTGTTCTTGATCTCAAGAGTATACTTGCCAAATGCCCTCTCAACCTTCTTGTTGAAGTGTTCGTTCCGGTCATTGATCGAGTCAATGTCCTTGTCTTCATGGAACTTGCGCCTCCTGCTGAATGCTTTCCGTTTCTCATCCCGTTCCTTAAGCTCATTAACCATCCTGTCTATGTTTTCTTCCGGGACCTTAGACACCTGTTCAACGCACAAGCCATCGATAAGGACTCCATGACAGAAGGGCCTTAAATTCAATTAGTACAAAGTTTGGTACGATGGCAAGTACCTTCCCATATTGGAGACTTGAAGCGTCCCGATAAAATTCAGGATCGGCTTCCTTTGCTTTGTTGTATGCCTCCATGTCAACCTCAATGTTCTTGGTCCTCTTTTTGTATGCATCATATAAGGTCTTCTGGTTGAAAACTGCAAGTGAGAACACCCCCATTTATATAGAGGTACGAGGTTTAAATTAAAAAGATCAAAGGGAGTTCATGGCCAAACTCAAATTGTTTCAAACAACAAGCTATAACCATGGGCCTATGGCGGCTACCTTGATGCTTTCTGATTTCTGACTATAACATAAGCATCAGGGATTTCCAGATATAAAGAATCATGTAAGTAGACATCTCATGGTGCCAGACATTCAATGCACTATGTAACAAGAAATGCTAACCAGATGTTGCATTGCTGAAGGCTAGACGCAAAAATTATAGGGAGCATTTGTCAAGAGCATATATAACATATAATCTTGTTTAAGAACATCAGTAATTTACACTTGCAGGTTTAATATTTAAATGCAGGAAAAACAGAAACATATGTTGGTAAAGTTTGCAAAGCACAGGTTAAACTTATAAAACAAAGAAACTGATATGACAACCTAGACCCTGATGGGAAAGGAACAACATGCCATATACTACTAGGTAACAAACTGACAAACAATTATTCAAGTAACTTCAGAAAATTCATTTGGAATTAGCTTAAAACACGTATAATAAACACCACAACGACAACCGGCCATGAGAGACAGCAATATGAATACGGATGTGTCGAAATTCACCAAAGCTACAGAATATGCCTCTGAATATAAATTGAATGAAGAAATTCGAGAGATGGAACTCACCATCCCAACCATATGGTGCAGGTTCCTTTTCCCACTTCTTGTATTTTGCTTCGGCCGACTCCTGTGTATCGAGCATGTAAGACTTTGTCATGTCCAGGCCATTTGAGTCAAGAAGCTTTCCGATCTTCTTTTTTCTGTCTTCCAGCCACTTTTGTTTAGAAACACCTCTACTCTCAGCGCGAGGCTCCATCCTCTTCTTCTCTGCCACCATCGCTTGCTGATTTGCCTTCCTAGCTTCATTCTGCAGCACGAGAAACAGCAAAGAGATGAATACCCAAGACTGCACAGACAACAGCTATGACAAAACAATGGAATTGCCGATGACCGCACCATCTTCAGCCGCAACTCAAATAGCTTCTTCTGCTTCTCTGTCATCTGCGGGTAACCGTCGTCTGAGCCGGCGTCCTCCTGCTCCGCATCATCATCACCACCACCACCCTCAGCTTGGGCAGCGTCGGATTTGCCAGCGTCTGCAGAAGGCGGTTCTTGCTCCGCACGCTCCAACCCTAAATCGAAGCCAATGAATCACTCCATAAGCACCCAATACAGGCTCAGGACGAATCGAATTACTCCTAGCCTCGAATTAGAATTACCACTATAGTATGGATTCATGGACATCACCCATGGCGCAAATTGCTCCGATCAGAAAATACGTACAGAAGCGAGAGGAGGAGGCGGGGCTAGCACCTGATTTGGCGTCGGCGATCCTCTTGAAGCAGTACTCGGAGCAGACGTGGTAGGGGTTGGAGGCGTTGATGCAGTCGGGGTGGACGGTGCGGTCCACCGGCGGCCGCTGCTCGTCCTCGATGCGCTCCTTGGCCTCGGCGATCTTGCGGAGGCAGTAGTCGGAGCACTCGTGGAACGGGTTCGACGAGTTGATGCACTCCGGCCGCGACTTCCCCGACGCCGCCGACGACGACGACGCCATCGGCCTCCGAGCTCGGGATTCGTCGGAACCCTAGAAGAGGATTAGCTCCGCGTGCGAATTGGGGATTGAGAAGGCGATGGCGGCGGCGGCGAGGTGAGGTGGTGTGGTGGGCTTCAAACCGGGCCGAAGAGACATTGGCCCACCCATTTCCCAAGGCCCATGCATTCCGCATCGCAGCCAGCCCATGAGACCCAGGAGTTAGTTCAAAGGCCTAAGATACTTTCACTTTGGTCCAACGATCAACTCCTACAGAAGGAAAAAAGTTTATTTCGGATCCCTCAACCATTGGCTGAGTTTGATTTTCGTCTCTAATTGGCAAAATCGAGCACAGCGAATCAATTTACCTCCCCACACCGTTTTGAGAGAGATTTTGGGACTGCCTATACATTTGTCGATAAATTTTTCCTCAAAAATTTGACAAATGTAATTATAGCACAATCGTAGTGTAATTACATTGTAACTTGCGTGTAACTACAGCGTAACTTATATGTAAGTTTCACATAATTTTGAATCGTTAGATCTATTACAAGATTTGTTTTGGTGAGGAAGAAAACAAATCATAGCACATACATATATGAAAGAATTTGTTCCCACGACCTCCATTTTACCGAAATAACATGTTACGGAGAGATTTTTAAAAATTACATACAAGTTACACTATAGTTACAGTGTAATTACATGCAAGTTACAGTGTAATTACACTACGATTGTACTGTAATTATATCTGTCAAATTTTAGGGGAAAAATTTGTCGACAAATATATAGCAAAATCGACGTGGTGTCTACGCGACAAAACAAACAGTAGAGCCCACGTGTCACCATCTCCCCCCCCCCCGGATTGCGGAGTAGTCGGATGGCGTTCAGCTCAAAGTCTAGCAAGAGGAGACTCTATGGTTGGTGTAAAAAAACAGTAGACTATATGGTTCTGTTCTTTTCTCTAGCAAAAGTTGTTCTTTTCTCTAACAAAAGTTGAATGAAAATTAAAATTTCTGTGGCACGTTTTTCAAACTGCTAAACAGCGTTTCGTGCGAAAACTTTCTATATGAAAGTTGCTCTAAAATATCATATTAATCTAATTTTCAAGTTTGTAATAATTAAAACTTAATCAATCATACGTTAATACCACCTCGTTTTGTGTAAAAAACTTAGTCTTCATCTTCGGAAGAAAAGAACACCACCTATATATGCGAAAATAAAGGATCCAGGTCCAAAACTCCCAAAGAACTTGAGCAAAAGTTCAATTCCTCTCCGAAATCTTGAAAATTGCAAATTCTATGCCAATTCTTCGACGAACTGAATGTAGAAGTACCGTCACTACCCTATGCCTAAGAATTTAAGATCCTGTTGCGAAACATAAATAAGAAAACATGGATAATGATTCCGTTCGGGCCACCGGGCGGGGGAGGAAAATTCGGGCGCTCCCCCCCCCCCCCCGCGCGTGCGCGCATGCCTGCGCTCCACCTAGCCCACCACGTGTCCACACACAAACAGCTCTATTGCAAAAAAAAAACCCACATATTTTGGAAATCCTCTATTAAGGAAATTTGGTTTTTTTTCAAAAAAAAATGTTTCATCTAGTGCATTCACAATGTTTCACTATGTATAGATCTAATGTTGCAGTGAACTGAAATACTCCATCACGGTCGTCCGAATTACCCCCCTGAACCACAAAAAAAGTACGAATTACCCCCGGAACTATCACGGTCGTCCGAATTACCCCCCTGAACCATAAAACCGGGCATTCTTCACCCTCAACTATGCAAACCGGACGAATTACCCCCCTCGACCCAATCCGCGGTGGTTTTGGTCTACGTGGCGTACACGTGGCAGTCCAGTCAGCATTTTATTTATTAAAAAAATGTGGGACCCACCTGTCATAGTCTCTCATCTCTCTCTCCTCTCTCTCTCACTCATCCTCTCTCTCGCTGGTGGCGGAGGCAAGCGGCAGCGGCGGTGCAGACGGCAGGTGGTCGGCAGGGGCGCGCGGGTCAAGCGGCAGCGGCGGCGCGGGACGGGCGGTGGGCAGGGGTGGGCATGCGAGCGGTCGACGCAAACGGCGCGGATGGGCGCTCATGGCGGCGCGGGGACGGGCAGACGGGCGGTCGGCGCTCATGGCTCTTCCGCCCCACATGGACGCCGCGATGCACGCGCACGCGCACGAGGTGTTCGTCTCCCGCGCCCGAGGCGAGCTCCTCCTCGTCGGAACATGTGTTCGCGGTGAAGGAGCTTGACGCGGATGACGAGGAGACCGGGGAGTGCACCGGGGAGCGGGAGGCCGCCATGGCCAGCATCCTCGAGCTCTACCGCTGCAACCTCATCGAGCACCGTCGGCATTGGCTCCTCGCCCGCTCGACGCCCGCCCGCAGCCCGCAGCCATCCCCGCAGCCGGCCGCCCATCGGTGTCGGCTCCTCGCTAGCCCGCCGCCCGCAGCCATCTCCGCCGTCGTCGTCGGCAGTCGCGCCGCTCGCTCTGCCTCCACTGCCGGCCGTCCGCTCCGCCTCTGCCTCAGTCGCCCGCCTCGCCGCATGCGCCGCCCCACCCCCTCCCCGCCTCGCCGCCGCTTCTGGCCACCATCCCGTCCATGTCTCCGCCGCGTCGTGCGTGCCGCCATGAGCACCGCCGTGTGCGCCGACGGTCCGTCCACCCGCCCCCGCCCGTCCCCGCGCCGCCGCTTGACCCGCGCGCCCCTGCCGACTGCCCGTCCCGCGTCATCCCGCGCCGCCGCCTGCTGTCTGCACCGCCGTTGCCGCTTACCTCCGCCACTAGCGAGAGAGAGGATGAGTGAGAGAGAGAGAGAGGAGAGAGAGATGAGAGACTATGATAGGTGGGTCCCACATTTTTTTAATAAATAAAATGCTGACTGGACTGTCACGATCAAAACCACCGCGGATTGGATCGAGGGGGTAATTCGTCCGGTTTGCATAGTTGGGGGTGAAGAATGTTCGGTTTTGTGGTTAAGGGGGGTAATTCGGACGACCGCGATAGTTCGGGGGGGGGGTAATTTGTACTTTTTCCTTTTGGAAATCCCCTATTAAGGAAATTTGGTTTATTTTTTGTTCCATCGAAAAATGTTTCACCTAGTGTATTCACAATGTTTCACTATATATAGATTTAATGTTGCAGTGAACTGAAACATTCTTTCGCTATTTGCTGAAACATTGTTTTTATATAAGGTGAAACAACGTCCGATTTAAACGAGTGAAACATTTTCGATCTATTTAGTGAAACAATTCCGATATACTTGGTGGAACATCGTGCAACATTTAAAAAAATTCAATAATAAGCTAAAAATTTTTTCGTCGGAATATATCCATGTGTGGTCATGTTTTGAAGATTTAATTGCAACGAATTTAATGGTGCAATCGGATCATGATTTGGATAAGTAATTTAAGAGAAAAATCAGTAGTTTTGCACATAAATCGGACGCTGACGTCAGCACCCGATTTCACCCGCTCCCTGTCCGGCGAGCGACGCGTAGTCGCGTCCAGAAAACATTGTCGTGACCCAAGGTCACAGACAAGATTGGGGATAGACGGGAAAACCCCCTTTTCCCGCCTATCCTGAGAAATGAGCGCGAATACCAAATGAACACACACACTAAGTGACAAGACTTTTAGTATTCCAAGATATCCTGCCTGCTACAGGCTTTTTGTCTGCTTTATATAGTTCACAGCTTTACATGTGAGATTACAGTTGCGCCCTTTGTTGGGCCCACATGAAATTACAATTATGCCCTTGCTATATCAGCTAAACCTAAGGGCATTTTGGTACATTATGGAGGTCATTATAGTCTTTTGGTGCCAGCTAGATGAAGTGGTTGAGTGGTCCTCAGGAATATTCTCTTGGCATCTTTGTTGTCTAAGTCGCCTTCTTCATGATCAAGAGTCTTTTCCACCACCATGGGTCTTCTCCTCGACCGAGGGTCTTTTCCACCACCATGGGTCTTTTCCATGGCAAATAGTCTTTTCCAGTTCGACCACCCTTTTCGACTTATCCGGTAGCTGACCTGTTACTGACTTAGGAAACATTCAAAATGGATAATAAGACTTAGTGACAAGAATTTACTCGAACGGTATTTTCTGACTCGAATAGTGTTTTACCGTTTCCCTGTTCGAATGGCCATTTCCACTCGGATACTTAGAATAATGACTCAATCTCTCTCTACAGTGTTTTGGGCCGAATATGGAGGGACGGTGGTCACCCCCTGCTACAAAAAGCCCCTCACGGGTAAGGGCGATGTGTGTTTTCGACCGAAACCGTGTTCGAATCAAAAGCTAGGGGAGAACCGCCGTCCTCCTATTCGGTTGAAAAAACACTAGGATATAAAATTTTGAAGTTCGAAGCTGGTTATTCTTGATAATCATTATGCGTTTATTTGAACCGAAAAGTTGTGGTTCGCCGTAGCAAGTATCATTCAACTCGAAACATGAAGCACATTGCATTTTGAACACATGAGAAGTTGCTCTTTTCTCAAGCAACTAATTGTGATGATGAAGAGAAGGAAATACATTACGATGACACTTGTATTTTTTTCTTTTAATTTTTTTTAAATGGCAAAGAGAACATCGAGATGGCAGTTTGCGTGACTTCGTCGTCGAGTTTAGAAAACGACGTTCGAATAATGCTTCGAGCAGCATTAATTTTTGGCAAACCTTTAGACCATCTGAGCGTCAACTTATAATATGGAAAATGCGCTACTCAATTGTCTCTTACACGGGAATGCCTTCTCCTCTCAATGTCATTTTTCCTTCTTCTTTTCCTTTTTTAACAAGCAATCAGATGTAAATTTGTCGTGTGGTCTTTAATAAAACAGTTTCCGAATACTTTTCTGATACAAAATAGCTAAGGTAAAAATTTATTCGAAAAATGTCATCAAGTTGGCTTTTCTTCTCCGAAGCGTGCGGAGGGTTTTCTCGATTTGGTATCGAGTTGGATTTTCCTCTCCTCTCCGAAGCGTGCGGAGGATTTTCTCGATTTGCTATCGAGTTGGATTTTCCTCTCCGAAGCGTGCGGAGGATTTTCTCGATTTGCTATCGAGTTGGATTTTCCTCTCCGAAGCGTGCG